ATGTGATAAATTGCATCTAAATATATTAGGAAATCTAATTAGCAACACTCATGTTCATTTGAAACCTAGATCTATAAAAGGTATTGAAAGCAAAGTATAAGACAATGAAGAACCAYTGAGATTTAGAAGCTGAGGGCTTTGAGCCAGTTTTGGACTGCTTACTGCCAAAAAAGAAATTGCTTCATTACTTCATAATAAGATCATCATGCATCTTCCTAAAACACATAAGATTCTTAGCACCTTTTGGCTAAATCCAATACAAATTTTKCTCCAAGCTGGCCATATGCAAGCACAATTAAGTATATAGAAAATGGAACTTAAAAGTCAACTAAAAATAATTGCAAACACATATCTTCTTGTGTGAATGTKCTCTCTGATTGTATTTCTTTCCATTTAAATTTATTCTCCACAGACAAGACAAGTGAATTTAATCATTACAATCCCATAACACAATTATGTAAAAGGTAATAGTTTTAGATTAAAAACATCCAAAAGATGCTCTAGAAGACAGCTATATAATGAAATTACACATCCTGCAGATATGCCAAGACAGAGAACTGGAAAGAAAAGCAAAAGATTCTGCCATCAAGTGGTTGAGATAAGAGTCAAAACAAAGAGGATGGATAGGGGCACAAACTGCCAGCAGGATAAGGCAGCAGCAAGATCATGGAAGAAACATTGAATGGAAGAACATTGATGTTCACATAYTAACCCTCAATCCAGTTGGAGCATTCAGTTAAAGCATGAAAAAGTAACTCCTRTAATATAGTTACTGCCTCAAACAAGGCCCCACAGCTCTGGTCTGGAATTCAGACTGAGGCTTAAGAAAGTTAAAAAGCATTATGAAGCATCAAACTGCTACCTAAGCCTCCTCCTAAGATTAAGAGCTTTCACTGTCCAGATGGTTTATCAGTTCCCTGTTCATGAGTCCCTGTGGCACTCACTGTCTGATTACCTTGGGATTTACTGCAGAACCATCCTAAGCCTGTCCTAAACCATCTACTTCCTTTGATACCAAAGAAACAGCAAAAACCCCAACACCATTTTATTTCCTGCTTTSAGATCCCTGAGTGCACTGAGACCTTAATTGCCCTGATCAGCCTTTCCGGAACTCCCTCCAAGCCTTCCACTCGTGGGCTCAGGAGCCTCACWGCAGCTCAGACCATCGTTTCAGTTTCTGGTTAAGCCATATGGGAGATGCATCCCTCTCCAACATTGTTACAACTGTGCCTCTACTTGGCCAYGAAGCCTACTCATCCTGGCTTCTGGACCCGTTCTGTGGTTTGACCTTGGATCTACCTTGTCACTATGAACTTCCCTGGTGATACTGGGCTGTGCCTGACTATTCCTTCTGATACTGGCTCTACCATTTTCCTGAAAGAGATAYAAAACAGGCAAATTCAGGAAACATCTATTCTGCCCATTAATGCCAAATAAAAATGCTTTAATTTCATTTCCATTGCCCGGTCTCTCACTCTTATATTCATCACTTCATGTAGAAGGACAAGCATTCATTGAAGTTGTAGAATGGCATTAGTGTTTAATGAACTTCTGAATGTGCTTTGAGTTGTAACTATTTTCCTGCAGTCTCCTGGTCAAGGATGATACCAATTTCCTTTGAAGCTTAAATGAGATGGAAAATAGTTGTTATGAATGACTGTGTGTGCTACAATTGCAGGGGAAAGGGAAGATTGTGGTTGTTGGTACTCTTATTTTCAATTTTTAATTTTAGCAATTCAAAGTAGTCAAAGTCACACACACACACACACACACACACACTCACACACATATTCTTTTTTCTCTATAAAGAAAAAAATGTTATATATAACTGCCCAAGTCTGCACAGTGCCTAGTGAAGAAGAATTCAGACCATGAGTGGGAATCACCCTGAAATAAGCATGGGAATTGTAGCCATCTGCCTCCTCATAGAAAAGCCTCTCATGTTCAAACAACCTTTTTGTCATTGCTGAAAGGATGTATCTTTTTTCCTGCTGTGGTAATGGGAAAAAGGAATGGCACACTTAATAGCTACAAAATTGCTGGAACGTGAGGGCAGGATTTTCCACTGTCAAGCTTTCTGCGCTGTTGCTGAATGGGGTATAGACCCTGTGGTCATGCCATAAACACTGCATTCCTCCTTGATGCTCCTGGGTGCTGTCATGGGAATTATGTGCTTTGTTATCAATACAGGCTTGTCTTGTAACCCTTGTTTGGCTGCTTCTTCCAGTGATTTCTCTCACGTGCACATTTTCATTCCCACARCATTCCTGGAAATCTTTGTATTTCATTCCACATAGACTGGCCTGGCTGGATTGCTATGGATGTAGTTTGGGGGAAGAGACGGTGTCCTGAAAGAGATGTTGCGCTACATCCTTGGGAGGCTTTACATACGTGAAGGCTTCCACATGCCCAAAGTGTTTTCATTCAGAAGTCTCAGTTTCACACCTCTTGGGTAGCACCCCAGAAATATAAACCTGCAGGGGAGCCTCACAATGTGCCTGGTGCTCTGTCCTGCCACTGTAACATCCAGACTAGGACTGTGCACTACTGACCCAGAGAAAATTGAGTATATGTCTGCACAGGGGTCCAGGACAATTGCCATCATGATTTGTGATGCTGCTCTCCCTGCTGACGTACTCCCCTACTCAGCAGGGGTTTTCTTCATCAAGATGGTGTCTGTAAAGATGGTGGTGCTGCATTACCTGATGTTTCTTCTGGAGATAATCAAGGATGAGGAAGAGGATGCAGGCATAACTTTATGTTTGTGTGTGTGTAACAATGAACATTGGGAGTGAACTGGACCCACTCAGTGGTAGCCTTGTGAATCCATCCCTGGGGTTGACACTCAGGTAGCCCTGCAGCCCTGTCTGTGGGAYAGTGCATGTCCCTAGAGCTGGAGAGAGACCCCAACCTGAATGAGGAAAATGTCACCCTTCGCTGCAGGGCAGCAGGTAGAGATGTGATCCCACTGAACATTACGGCTTCTACTCTCAGGGTGAAACTGCGGGGAGAGGCATACATGGTCAGAGCAAGGGGATGTTGAAGTCCTCAGGACTGAAGTTGTTTCCAGACACAGGCTGCCTCACAGTGCTGTCCCAGTACACTCCAGCTGATGGCCAGACACCCAGGTCAGGCGGAATCAGTGACTGCCCTGGGCTGCTCACAACATCCTGAGCTGCTGGGATCTCCAGAGAGCTGTTCTGAGGCAACTGAGTGTCACATCTGCAGGCTGAGCCTTGGGTCTGTCTCTGTGACCAGCGTTAGCCCTGTCCTGGGCACTGAGGATCAGCCCAATTCCACAGACTCGGGCTTTGTTGGCTGCCTCTTGGCAGGGAAGTGGCTCTACTTCCAGTGGAACTAAAAGGAGAAACTGCAGGCTCTAAATGTCCACTCAGTTTGATTTTTTTTTTGACACAGACTGCTTGGCTACCCTAAAAAGAAAGCTTCTTAACTATTGTAGCAATATTGGCAATACACAGATGATCACAGCTTTATTAATTTCTCAGCCTTTGCCAACAGTATTTCAGAACTCTTACTGATATCATTATTCCTCCTTCAAGGGTAAGTACCTCAATCATCCGAGACTGCCTTTTCATCATCGTGTGGAACACCTTAATCACACCTGAAATTCCTCTCAAAAAATAGCRTAGAGATTTTACTAGAGAATACAGATGCATGAAAATATAGAAGCTAAAAATCCTAAGGCATCACTAGGATGTTGGACCTCACCAAAAGGCAGTATTATTTCCTCCACTTTTTTTTTGTAAGGCTTAGGAAACAAAACTGGCAAAAAAAAAAAATTTCAAGAACTGCATTTTTAACAGCATTGTAGAAGGACAGCTCCTTTTATGATATGTTAATAGCAACACATGATTGCTGAGAGTAACTCAAACAACACATGAGAAGCTGAACCTGTCTTGCAATGTCTGAAGAACAGCAAAAATGTCTCTTCTAAAGTAGACCCAAAATTACTGTGTTCAGAGGCATTTGCCACTGCAGATAAGGAAGAAGTCTTCAATAGAATTAAAACTTCTCTCAAAAGCTGACCGATTCTTTATCATATAGTATAAATACAGTCAGGGCTTTGAGAAAATGCTTTCAGATTATCTTTTAGGTGYCTCCTTTAATAAAATAAAAGAAATAAATAATTTCCCATTTTCCATGTAAACTTTGAGATACAAATTAATTTCCCATTGTTCTTTTCTAGAAATGTATTTTTATGAGAAAAAAAATCAAGGTTTCTAGTGTTACAGGCTAAGAAGAGGAAAAGTATTTCCTTTTTTCAGAGTTAGAAATACAAGTATTAAATACCCACATTAGTCATGTATTGAACTAYCTGTCTAAGCTACAGATTAAAAGAGCAGCCTATTTTGTTCTCTGGTCTCCTACAGTCTTGTCTTGATCAGGAGAATGTAATTTTAAAAGTGTGATTGCAGGCAAAGGCTATAAAATGAACACTCCAGAAGTTGTGACACTCCTGCAGCTCTCTTATGAGGTCAGAAGAGAAGAGCTCAGCTTCCTTCCTGACAAAAAATTTCTTCTCTGAACATGTGCATGAACTCTGGGAGCATTATCTGGTCCATCTCTTGTCCTGAGATAGGCTTAATCATCCCTGTGGAGCCAAAAATGGCTGATGGTTAAAAAAGCACCCTTAGCTGTCCCCTGCCTACCAGAACTGTTCAAGGAAAACTGCAACAGGAAGTACCAGTCCTTTGCTGGCAATAGATTTGTCTTGTCCACACTTTTTGTGATTTAAGGATAGAACAGATTTGGGAAGAGAGAAGTTGTTTCTGGAAGCTCAAATATTAGGCTGGGGTAGGAGTCTATCCAGGAATTTTTCATGCTCAAGACTGAAGACTATAAAATGATTTTTTGAAGTCAGACCACATTGATASTGTATGTGGCTAGAAGTGACAACTGGAAAAAAGAAATGGAAACTTTTCTTTTTTTTAATGAAGCTTTTTATTCATTTGTTAAATAGAAAGAAGTAATAACTTAACTGTGCAGACAAAAGGWGGAGCACACGAAATGTATAGAATTTGTACATTTTTATGGCTTGGGGAGTAAACTTTTCCAGGAAGATGGAAACTTTGATTCTTAATAGAATTAAATTTCATACTGATCCAAGCCAGGATAGGAACAAAGTAGGAAACACATAATTTCAATATTCACAGAATAGGTTCTTATTCATTTAGTCAGTTGCGGATTCTAAATCTTCTTTGGGTCCTCACTGTAAATAAAATGAGAGAACACTTAGCTTTCAAAGGTCTCTGAACAAATTCTAACATCTCTAAAATATGTACATTCCAAATCACATTGTATCTGGCAGCTATGATTGCTTTATATTTGTGGACATATTAAAGTGGCACGGGGAGTTTTTATTTTTCTTTCCTTCCATAGCAACAGTGGACAGAAATAGATACTGCATAGAGACAATGTGAAATTGCTGCTTTGGTTTGGGTATGCAGTCAAGTTAGTGCATTTCAGTGGATTCACACAAACTCTGTGTCCTTGTTCTGATGCCGTAGCAAATCCAAGGCTGCACGGCACAACTCAGCTTCCTTCCAGACCAACACAAGCTGCACCACGGTGCAGCTGCTGCAGACTACAGTCTCACACATGGGCAATCCTTTATTCCAGCTGGTACACACTAACTCACAAGCCTGTGAGTAAAAAAACTAAACTTAATTGTTTAGTTGTGGCCTCAGTTCTTAATTAAATGGGACTGAAGAAAATTTGTTCTAGCTGGATAAGTTCCAGGAATCCTGATCATGGAAATGCTGCCTCTCTTCTTGCCAAGGGGCTGGGTGACTTAATTCACCATAGATCTGTCTCATCCTCTGAACTCTGTGATTAAAAACTGCATCTTTTSCAGAAGAATGATATATTCAAACATTGCATTATGATTTATTCTCTTTCTACTGTGCTAGTAACACTAGCAGTATCATTAAATTTATTGCCCTTATTGGCAATGCTTTGGAATATCTGATAAGGAAGGTGAGCAGTGAATCACCTGGCTAACACCATTAATCCTGAGTGTGGCCCCATCTGCATGAATGATAAGTGGTGTCAAYGTAGAACTGATCCATTATGTCAAACACAAGGCAGGAAGTGATGACCCTCATGGAGAGCAGTTCCTCAATTATTTTCCTGAGTGAACAGGAAGGTTGGTTCAATATAGGCTGTTTTCCTTGCTATTCTTGTTCTTAGACTTACCAGCAGTAAAGTTGGCTTGGAAACCYGAAGCTGTACCAGCACCATCTGTGATGAACTCTACCAGCATAAGATTACTAGATGAAACTATGTATTTGGGTATCTTTGAKCCACAGGTCTTGTCCATTAAAACTGGAGAAGACTTGCTGGATCCATCATAAACTTTAACATAATCACCCTGACAGCCTCTGGTGTTCTGCAGCTCAAAGGCTTGAAAGTGCAGGGCAACCTGGAAGGGAAGAGAAAATTGTATTTTAATTTATTCTTTCATGGAGTGAAAGAATTTATTTCTTTCATGGAGCGATTTTTATTTATTTCTTTCATGGAGTGTCCTTTAAAACAAAAGAATCTAAGCTGTGGCGAAGCACAGACTCACAGACCAGAACTGCTTGCCCAGCTTTGCCTCTCTCTCCCTGAGGTTGCAGGGTTCAGATCTAATCACTGAATTCTCCCATGCTCAGGGTGCTTTGTCTTGATTTTGCAAACCTGAAGCCAAATATACGGAGATTTTTCAAAATTACAACTCTGCAGTTGTGTTTGCCTGTRCATGGCTTAAGCACATATGAAGTGGAGACAGATAGTCTGAAATTTGTCTCATGGAGCAGATCTCATCTGGCAACWGCTGTACACTCAAAGCACAGAATACTTAACATAGAAAGAAGTTCAGCCATATTTCAAGACCTGTGATTACCTTTCTGGATCGGGTTCGGATGAGCCAGACACAGTTGGTGTTATCTGAATAATTCCTTGGGTGGTTGGCAGATCTCAGTGATCCAGAAGGTCCATCAAGAATTGTGCTGCAACGACCTGAGGAAGAAATGCTTGCTTCAGCATCAGGATTGCAGAAGTTTTCAGCCATTTACAATTACTGTCTCTACAGAATGGATTGATCTCTCTTTTCTGATCGGTCAGCATTCATTTCAGAGTACTGGTACATCTTGATAAATATTAGAAATCATGTTGTCCTAATTTTCATAAAATGCATCAAAAAGGAAAGTAGTGCTTTGAAAAGCATTAATTTTTATTATCTGTTTTTAACAAGAGATCTTATTGTGCACCTCTGTGAAGAGTATGAGAGGTTTCAATGCACTGCAGTTGGTGCCACTGTTTTCCACTGAGAAGGTTAAGTTAAGAGATGTCAGAAGAGTCAAGCAYAAATATGATTTAAACATCTGCAGTACTKAAATTCTAAGCTTAGGRGGAGCACTTGGSRTGAAGAGGSAATACTTTATTCATCTKKTTTTTTCTCYTTGATTGAATAAACTTCTRTGATTGTATAGAAGAAGTTCTTCTAGCAGAGGTTAAATATAAAGAATTTAAACATGCAAACTTAGAGTGACAAACATTTGAAAACTGGACCAGGCAACATTAAACTATTCCAGTTCAAAGTAGCATACAACTGCTTTGGTTTTGATCAGGTCTTAAATACTGGTTGCCATGAGGATCAGTGATATCTGGTTCTTTTTGGATTTACAGTTATCTGCTGAACTGTAAGAAACCAAATTACTCCATTGAAGTTTACAATGTGATACACAGTTAGTCCAATAACACAGCAGCCACTTATGACAATAGCAAATGTGTTTTATTTAATTTAGGGGCAGAAACCATTTTCTCACTAAWCACAATGTGCCTCCAGCTTCACCTWTGCAYYCTSTCSCAGAGTAACCCTAGTGGGTACCAGGAATTCATGAGAACAGTCTCACATTTCTTTCTCTGCAACCTGCCCAAATCTGAGTTGAAGATAAAARGTGGCTTTGAGATACTTACTGCAGTTGTAAAGTTTGTTGATTTTGGCCACATCCAAGTTGCTCATCCCCTGCCTCTGTCCAATATGGACTGATCCATCAGGAATTGGTACWATAGTTGCTTTCCCAGTGGTATTGGAGAATGTGTATCTGAAAAAACCCATGAGAAATTACGTACTCCAAATACCATAACACCTTTCAGGATTCTGTGGCACGCTTTGGAGGGAGAACAAGAACTGAACATAAGGTGTTGCTGTGACTAATAGTGCTGCTTAAATAGGTCCAGATGCCCTCCTTTGCTCCCAAGCCCAGCAGTAAAGGGGTCCCTAATGGAAACCTATGGTACAATGAATTAATCCCAATGAGCAGCTTGTCTGAACCAACTCACGGGGTTTTCCCCAGGAGGGGATTGATGAAAAAATGGTAGCTAGGGGAAAGGTAGTTAGGAGAAAGGAAAGATGAGTTCTGGAAACAGTAATGCCATGCGGCTACTTACGGGCCATAGTGCATCACTGAGGAATAGTCATACGGAAGACCCAGGTTATTGGAGTGCTCAAATTTCTTGAAGTCTGATCTGTCAGCTGGAAGATATGATTTTGTACWTAGAGCATGGCTCCTACCTAGTCCCTTCAGGGAAGAAGAGAAAGCTGGGAGCAGTAGGATGTGTCTACACCTCTTCCTACATTGAGGAGCTCAAAGTACGTACCTGGACTGATGTACTCCCACATGATCTTTACATGTTTATCTCTGTCACTTCGAGAGTGTTCATGCAAAAAGCCCAGAGCATGCTCCAGCTCGTGCTGAATTACTCCTTTCCACATGCAGCCTCCTTTCATCACAGAGACAGTCTGTCCACCTCCTACTTTCCCATAGTTGGACCAGCAGCTGAGAGAGGCAWTGAACAACAACAGAAGATTAATGGGATTTTTATTGTCAGGAGGCAAAAGTGACCACAGCATATAARGAACAAAGAGTATGATCATTGCTAAATCTTTCTAGAAGACTTTTGTTAGCACATAGGCTCCTGAATTCTGATTTTACCATGACTTTAATATTATTTCCCTTGAAATAATATTTTTTTTCCAAAATACTCAAGACTGTATCAGAGCTGGAGCTAGGATGAATAACACTTTCAAGTTAACCAGTGTTGAACAATTTTCTCATAGCTCTAATTCTGAGCCTTCAATTACGATGGCCAACAGTGTGATTCAGAGAACTGTTTATTTCATGAGTAAAAGTGAGTTTATTTGTGTCAATAGGACCTACAGTAATCAAKATATGTTGTCCTCAAATGTGCATCATACCACACAGAAACCATGAGCTTAGATATTCTCTCCCCCTTAATGGTGCTTTTCCATGATGTGCATTACAGTGAGTTCCTGATGTACCTGATGAACCCTTGCACTGGAAAGGTACTCAAGGAGGTTACCTCAGCACAGAGATCAAACAAAAACCTCTCTGAGGTCACACAGAATGTAGGAAAACTTGGAAAAAACAGTGTAAAAATAAYTTGTTAATTTATCATTCAACTCACCCATCAGCAGATCTAATACTGATGTAGTCRCGCTCTGTCTGGCGCTTCACAAAATTGATACAAGTCAGTGCTTCAAATTCTGCCATGGCATCATGAATCCCTTTCACATGGCCYGCCTCTGGGGAAGAAAGAGCTAGTTTTAGGGGTTACAAGAGATGCCACTAAAATCTTACATGTTCTCAGAAACAGGGTAAATGAGGGACAGAAACATTAGCCTAGGCTCTTTCTTCCTTTTTGCTCACTACTGAATTCATTTAAGATTTTAACAGCCTGGCACAAGATCATCTTTGTCCAGATATTTGYTCAAATGTATTCAGATGCCTCTTTTTTTCAACGACTTGTTCTTAATTTTAGTGCTGATTTTCTATATATATTCCTATTTGATACTTGGAGACATCTATGGGAAGCTGTTTAGCTGATGGAAAGCAGATCATTGAAGCACCACTGTAATAGGCATGAACCTGATAAAGGCAGGCATTCTGGCAGAGACAATTAGAGGAAATGGCCATTCTTGTCTTCAAGAGACCAGTTCCAAGACATTATGGATGCAAAACCTTCTCAATGAAWTTTGATGTTTTTCTGGTTCGAGTCCTTGTAACTTAAAATTTGTCTRTGCTTGCATAGCACAAGTAAATCCTTACAACTGATTTATTCAGCTGTTTGTATGCTCACTAAAACTAAGTTTCTATCTGAAGCTTACTGGATAAAATCCATTAAAAAAATATTTTAAATTTAAACCCACCATAAGTAGGATCCAATACATAGGGAATGCGAACAATCCCATCACTGGACGGGGGCCARTTACAGTGGCGACAGTTGATGGCACTGCGACTCCTTCGTGGAACTATGTCCCCTTCCTGCAGGAGCTGAGAGCTGTCTGGTGACACAGAAAGGGTGGAAACATCTGAGCCACACATTGCTGGACACTTGCTAAGCACACTTGGAAAAGTGAGGAGTTGCAATAGTAAGAATGGTATTTTACTTYGGTACAATTTAATCATCCATCATGTGACACTGAATGAATGGCATCAAATATCACCTCAGGAAGGTGCTGGGCAGAAGAAGAAGGTGCCAGTAAGGAAACCCAGGGATGTGGGCAAACCAAAACAAGGAGAAAATTGCAGGAATGTTTGGTGTCTCTTTCTACAGGCTACTTCAAGTAAAGCTATTTGAAGGACTCTTGGAGGAGAAAGTGTGGAAAGATAAGCTGATAGATCAGGAAATGTTTGGAAGAATCAGGGAAGAGGAAGAGTCTGGAGCAGGGAGAATGGAATGACTGCAGCTTATCAGGAGTCTGTACTGCAAAGCCATATAATGGCTGAATGCAAGCAATGCTTCATTCCAGAAAAAGACAGTTAAATAACAAAGCATCCAAATAACCAAGTTTTCTATTTATGTCTAAAGAATGACAAAGACGTAGAAAGCTAAAGCTGAATAAACTGAATAAGTTTCAGTTCCTTCCACACCTGGCAGTATCTTCAGTATTGRGACAATAATTTGAGACACTATAGAGCTTCAGCAGACCCAGCAGTCCACTCAGTAGTCCCAGTGGCATCTTTTACGTGGTGGTGTGTAAGATGGGAAAAACATTTGCACAGATTCTGATAAGACATTGTACCTCCCACATCACCCCCAAAACCCAATGAAGATAGACCCCTCAGAAAAAGGGATTTGGTGGCATTACCTTTGTTGACTTTCAGAATTTTGTTAAAAATGTCTTCATCCTCATCATCAGCCTCTGTAGGCTCAGGAGATTCTGTGCAGAAAAAGTTGAGTGTTACTTTCTCATTCCCAGGGAAAATATGAATCCTGATTTTTAACCTGATGATGCATAACTTTCCCAGCAATGCAACAGAGCCAATACCTACAGAGCCAATTKAGGATTGGAGGGATGTTCATTCATGTAGATATTTGTTCAGTGACACAATCTTGAGAACCTCCCAGCTGAGGTTATTTTGGCATTAACCTAGTCCCAAGAGCCATTACTCTTTGATTATTTTGTTCTCTCCTTTTTTTTTCCCCTAGTCATCATATTTTAATGCCTCAGACAGCACAGCTTTACTTCTTTATGCAGAACTCACACTCAAATCCCCAACATAAGATACCAAAAATGGATGGAGAGCAGCCCTGCTGCTTCTTGCTGGACATGATGACTTCTTGAAAAACCCWTGAAACCAATGCAGCCTGAACTGATTTCCTGTTCCATGGGTTGGACTCATGTCCCCAGCTAAAAGTCCAGCAYCAGGGACTCCTAGGCCTTGCTCGCAAAATTGGTCAACTCTGCACATTATTCAACAAGTCTTGGCATCAATAAAATGCACAAACACATGACATCTGCGCTTCCTCTAACCTTTGGAAGTGACTCAATTCAGGACATTACTTAAGCAGACTATTTTTAGCAAAARTAACAGCTGAGGTGTTTAGGAAGGCCAAGCAATTAGCCAAAACCAAGAKCCTTTGCTTTGCATGAAACACTGTGGTGAGTGCATTCATTTAAAATTCCTCATAAAGGTTAATTTGTGTTAAGCATTTTCTGGAGTAATTGAGTAGATAACAATCAGTATATCCTCTCAAATAAGTACTTGTAGATGGAAAAATACATACCATATATGTCCTCTTGTGTAGTGACCTGCAAGAACAATATATTAGTGTTATTTCACACTTTATAATACAAAATTAAATTAAATCATATAACATAAATCATATAATAATCCTTAAAATTAAATTAAATCATTATAACATAATTTATAATCAAAAGTGTCCAGGCTACCACTGCAAATACTTTTCACCAATGCRGCTTTTATATATTGTGCCATGTGTAAAGAAGTACCATGGCATGGTAGATACTTTTCTTTTGTCCCTCGGAAAATTGCATAATTCCCTCAAAAGAAGAAATACAATCTGAAATGTAGAATAAGTTTCAGATACACTCTGATCTGCTGCTGAGCAGGGAAGACTTTACTGCACAGGTGTATATAGAGGAGGAGTACAAGAGTCCTGACCTTCCTTTCYACATATTGGACCCCAAAGTTCAGAAGAGTTGAATCAGCTTTCCTTACCTCTGTAGGTTCTGTTGCTGCAAAACAGAAATTAAAAAGATATTTAGAAAAACAGCTATGAAAATTCCTAGTAGATTTTGCTGAGGGACAGAATCCTGGTCATTTACCATCTAAGAATCAGCAAAGCATTTTATCAGGTTTAGTGTGGAAAATTACAAATGAGACCAGCGACAAAAAATGCTYTGTCCCCAGATTTCTCTGCAACAAGCATAGGCTAACTAGCTCAACAATATCCTTTATTTTCAAGTCTCAAAGAATAAAGTTATAACATGGCATGGAGGCTATAATTTAACGTGGAGAAAATAATTTCAGCTTCAGTATGTACCTGACAGTAGCTTGGTACCATTCTGAGTCTTAAGACGCCTTTCTACTGTAATGTCTTCTGATTTTTATCAAATATCAGTTTCTAGATACAAACTGGAAGTGAAAATCTGACCTGATTTCTAAATTTCTAACTTCATTGTTAGAAGCTTATAAATTGGAAGGACCTGCAGAGGTCATAATTTGTTTTCCCTAAGGCAGAAACTGTTTTATCTGTATTATTCCTGACCACAGTTTGTTTGACCTGTTCTTAAGTATGATGGATATGTTGCAAGCCTATCTACAATCTCTTCCAGTTAGCTAATAATTGTAGTCTTCCTTCTCAAGGTATGAAACCATTTTGTTTTTCCTATTCATCACTGAAACAGRGAGCACTCATATAAACAGTTATTATTTCCAAGCCCATCTGTCCCCCAATTTTGGACTGTATTTTTTCAGTAAAAAGATATGCCAAGTTCTGTCACACTTTGCAGCACCTTTCCCTTTTCATAATTATTGCTCAAACATACTGAGGGGACAGACATCTTCCTTTTCAGACTCTATCTAGCACCTGCAAAAGAATTGCTTTTATTGAGCCAAAAATACTTTTGCCTGTGTTTCYAGACTGTTCCTTCAGTTATGTGGCAATGGAAGGCCACTGTAATGATGATGGTTTATCAGAGAAAAGTTCAGTCAGTTCCCACCAGATGCATCAGAGAGATCCATGGCATCTAAAAACATTCTGTGGGGAAGCACATTTTTGAGAKGGGTTGACCAGAATCAGAATTTATGCACCCAAGAGGCAGTAGATGAATTGAGTASTCCAAGTCCGTGGAAACTGGGCTCCAGATTCCTAGGCACATTAAGCCTGCAACTTCTTTTTAAAACCCAAATGAAAAATGCCACCAGATGTCACCAGGAAAGGCATCTGCCATCTCCTTGATGAAATGAACATCTGCTGTGGTAGGGCTTTCAAAATTACACAGCTCACGTTTTCTCTTCACTGTAAATGCTGAAAAATATCTCAAAAGATACAAAAAGCAGTAACAATGATAAATTAAAACTCACTCTATGCACTCATCCTGCAATAAACCTGCAACTTTGAGTCTGAGAAACTGACTACCTTGAACTTGAGCAAGTGTGTCCCTTGGTYCCTTCTAAATACACTGAGCAGCAATTTTACAGCATCCCTTTTTTCCATGTCATAAATGACAGTTCAAAAGAAGAATTTGTCAATTTTCTTTTGTCACATACTTGCTCTGACTATATCAAGCAAATTTTTCCAAGGTATCTTCTTCTTATGCACATTACACCCAGTCTGGCAGTTTTTTGCTGTAGTTAAAGTCTGCCTACAGTTTTCCCTCCGTTGACCTCTGAAAATCGGCAATTATCTCCCCGTATTTTGCAAGTTAACAAAAGCTGTTCAGCTAAGACTGTTCCAAACAAGAACAAAGCAAAGCTTTCTTTGATGCCTGACATCCCTTTCTCTTACAGCTGCACCGAGGTAGGCTAGGAGGCAAATTATTAGCAATCTTACTATAACATTCGACTTAATGAAAAGGTATCAAGATGTCTAATTAAAATTTTATTTTCAGGCCTGTGAAAACACATCTAAATTAACCTAATAAACCATACCCCAAAAGTCTGTGTAAAGTACATCTTTGTAAAAACACATCTGCACTCAGCTCAATAACAAGTTATGAAACATGGTCTTATTGAAAAGGCCTGTGTCAGTGCTTTCACATGCTCTAAAAACAAGTCAACATACAAGTCAAGAAATAACAGTTGTTTTTAAAACACAGTATAAATCCTACTTACTTGCTGTGGTGTTTTCGTAGTTCTCCTGCAAAACCAACAGGTAAAAGGCRTTATTCTTCCATAGCTGACAAATGTAGCAACAATAGCATCAATATCAGGATGAAGGGAGGARCTAAATTATTAGATTGCCTTTATTTCTTATCATATTACTATTATTTTCTTGCAGGAAATTTCTTCACTCCAGGAAGAACAGATCAGCTGGAAGATGGAGCACAATTGCAYGGAGCTGCTCTCACCTGAATAGGGAAGCCCAGGGCAGCGTGAAGCAGAAATGAAGCGAAGATCAGGAATCTCTTCAGATCCATTGTGCACCGGGACAGRGCACGAGTCCCTCTCTCTGCCCCTCAGGAGTGCTGCCGCTAGATATAGGAGAGGAGCCTGCTCTGCCCCGGCTGGAAAATCCTGCCCCAGCCAATGCAATCTCAGCAGGAAGCAAACTTCTTTTGTGCCTCAAGAGCCAGTTTAGCCTCCGGGCATCTCCGCTGCTGCGCTATCTGCAGCATCCCCAGGCCTCCCACGGTCATTCCTGCTGCTCTCTAGAGCTGGCTCAGCCTCATGCTTGTGCTGCCATGCACTTCCTCTGCTTCCTGGAGGATCTTTCCTGAAATGTTCAGTGTGACTCTTACCACACATGAAGCCCTTGTTCCTGGATAGCTTTCCAGAGTACTGGACTGTTAGGATTTCACAGAGTAGATGACTTTTTTTCTTTGTGTCACTGAAATGACAGAAGGCCATAACAGTCTTTTGTTTCATTGAAASATACAACACATGGTTACTCAGTGACCTTATGACTGTGTCTTCCCTGAGAACATACCCTTCATATTCTCAGCTTATGGTTTTACAAGTTGAAATTTTTTGTTTTTCCTGTGTGTTTTTTGATGTTTCACCACATCAGGAACATCTCCTGTGTTCCATTATTTCTGGCAGTCTGACAGTTCCAGGTGCCCTTATGAGTTTTGTGACCAGCAATCAGGGATGGGGGAAAGAAAGCAGCAAGATCATGAGCAGCACTTACTCATGTTGAGAATGGTTAACAGATTTGCTTTGCTGGAGTGCACTTGTCCAGAAGTGGATGTAGGAAGCAGCGAGCAGATCTAGCAAGAAATGCTTGTAGGAGGCAAACCAGCAACCACTGAGCCTCTTGTCACAGCAAAGCTCTGCTTAGTCAGCCATTTGCTGACTCTGTTGTAAGTGGGGAAGTGTCTGGCGTCTGATTATCTCTTCTTTTGTCTCAGAGTATGTTTTTCATACATGGAAAAGGAAAATTAATTATAAAATGCRCTGATTCTGTCTCTAGACCATGCTAGTGCTCAGATACTCTCAGAGTAAGTTTTGAGCCCACTAACACAGTTATTCCTCTTTTCTGTATTGAATAAGAAGTTCTAGAAATTGTCCATGTTGGTGAATGAATCCAGAAGCAGCAGAAGGCCTTCCATCTATTTGTCTCCAAATCATACCCAGTCAAGAGTAGGAGTCAGATGGAAATGCAATCTGAATTGTGTTGGAGGGAATTACTTTTTATTTTAGTGATGGAAAGTTCACAGTGCACACTACTGGCTACTTTGAGAAAGTCTGGACTGACAAAGTCCTGGGATAAACTTTCATCACCCCCACAGGGAGGCAGCAGAGGTAGATACTAGGCTTCCTTTCCTTGTCCCTGCACACTGGCTGAAGGAAGGTGAGCCCTAGAACGGGACAGTAAACAGCGGGGCAGCACATGGTCCGTGTGACYGTGAAAGAGCATCAAGCAGCCACTGTCAGCGTGCTAATCCTGCTGAGGCTGGCACTTTGTGTGTCCTTTGTTCTCACTACATGTTCTCATACATGTTCTCACTAAGCAATCCTAAATGTCTTTTTTYAATATTTGTGTTTCAGAAGGATGAAAATCTTCCTTGAGCTGAAGGAAAGCAGAGCAGCCCTGGTCTGCAGTGGGAGAATGGTTCTTCATGTTTCTCACTCAACACAAGGGCAAAACAAAAGCCCACGAGGCCAGACACCTTGGCATACCAAAAAAACACACTGCAAAATGGGGCTTGCACATAATCTGCTTCCATTGGAGTTTAGGGGAAAAAAAAGATCAGACCACCCTCAGGGAAAACCAGTCCAGGGGCAAAGAGAAGGATCAGGGGCAGAGAAGGCATAAAACAAACTTTAAAAACAAGTTAGTAAGGTAACCTTGGCATCTTCATAGCATGTTATTGGGAAAATGCCATTCCTGATTGTCTTGTGTGCTCAGGAAAGAGTGAGGGAACTGGGCTGGCAAAAAGGATGCAGCACGTTTTATCCTGCACATGTTACTATGCTGACATACKAAGCAGTTCCTCAAATAGATTGCAGCATGCCACATTTTCCACAAGCTAACAAATAGTGCTGAYGGGGAAGATAGCTATTTGGTTGGATCAAGGATATGGCTGGAAATGCTGCAGCTGGCAAAGTACACAGAACAGAGTGATGGGCAGTGCTGGAACTCATGGCTCCTGCCAGTCCTGAAGATCATGTCACCTTTGGTTTGTGCCTGGTATTTAGATTCAATATTTGGTTATTTTTCCATAATGTGTTATTCATGGAGGAGGAATTGTCAGCAGACCTATTTTCACTAATCAAATGACACTCTAATTTATTGAGATATTGCAAAAATAGGACATAGTTTTACTAAATACAATAAAGCTGGTACCTCTAGTAGAGAAAGTGCCAGAGAAATTGTTTTGAACCTTTGGGAATCAAATAAGGACTTAGCAAAGAGAAGCYGTCTTTACATGTATATGAGAAAAGCACATGGGAACTTTTGTCAGACCCAAGTTCTCCTGTCAGTATGTCCCAATTTCTGGTGGACAGCAGTCTCCACATATTTTGAACATGTGGACAATTATAAGCAGATGTCCAAAACCAGCAAGAAAATGTCAAGAAGTACTTGGACAGTGTCACAGTCTGCAAGAAGTCTTCAGCAAAAATAGCACTGCTCCTAAACGACCACTACAAAACTTGGAGTTATGCCTGAGGACATAGTCTGATTTGCAGAAATCTGTAGGCATAACCAAGAAAATAATATACAAGCATACCAATTTAAAAAAAAAAAAATTCATTTTCCCTTCTGTTGGTGTGGGAATTCGCTGCAAATATACATAGTCACAATCAAAACAGCAGATGCATAAAAGGTACAACAATTCTGTAGAAATCTGTCAGAATTTGCTCAGTCATATGTCATTTAGTCATATGTGTAATACAGKTATTCTCTTTGGAGAGTTTCACTGTAAACAGCTCCCAAAATATAATGTAAACCATCAAGATTTAATTATGAAAAGAAATTGCACTAATTGCTATTAATTGCTTTAACATAAAATTCAGGGAACAAATAACTGCAGGAATTARCAACAACCTTCATGTCAAACAGCTCATGGAAGTTATATGATAGTTACTATACCTGATTCATGGTAAGATACAAACTAATCTTGAAAGTTTAAAATCATCTGTCTTTACCAAAACCAACCATTGAAGGAATGGTATGGACCACAACGCATAACTGAAATTGCTGTGGATTGGCATCACGTGAATAAACACCACACAATTGCATATGTAGTCTGGGGTTAATGGCAAATCTGAGACAGGAATATATTATTTCAGATAGAATTGCTCAGTATCATTTCCCAGGAATGTCTGCTTTGTGCAGCATTTCAGTATGCTGGCTCAMTTTCWTTTGGAAAAGGAATTCTGGTTTTCCCTGAGTTCTGGGTTCATGAATTCTGAACCCCCATCCTCTGCCTGGGCAGTCTGCTCCTCAGCTCTGTGCTTTCTGTCTCCTCACTTATTCCAAGTGCTCTAATCACACAGAAATAGCTTCCTTTTCTGTGGGGTCTGTACGATCAGATACTTTTCAGATATAATTCAGTCTTCCCACAAGCTTTCTCTGTGCTGGCTTAAAGGACTTTCAGCCCTTTAGTCTAATAATTCCAYTCTTCTTRGTYCTACAATTACATTTTAATTCCTTCYAAGTTGCCTGTACCTTTTTGGTAGTGCAGTGATTAGGAGTGGATGATTTCAGTGGATTTCATGTCAGCCAGTTTGCTGGTTGAGAGTATAATTGAAGGGCTGGCAGCTCCTGAGGGTTTCACAAGGAACCAGCATAGACTTCAAGTGCCTGTATTGAAGACTGGCATGTGTTATAAAAGACAGCTCTGGACGAGTCAAAGTGCAGTCAGAAGCTGCTTTCCAATGCTCCAGACCAYACTGGTTGCATCCATACATTTATTTGTTCTTCATGTCTCTCTCCCCATTTCTTTGGATTCTACCTCCCAAGGAAGACCTTGAGTTTTCCAGGTTCCTATTCCACTTTCTGGTATGCTTTCAATTTTTGAGGGCTTCCATGGATCCACAAGGTCTGCAGGTTCTTTAGCAGAACACTGACACATCCTCCATGATATTAATGACTAGCTCCAGCTGCAGCCCTAGCCCTGTTTATTGAAAGAACTCAAAACTAAATGATGAACATTGGCGTGCTATTGGTTAGTCACTTTTCTATTCACAGAGGCAAACCTAGAAATTTTGAACTTTATGTCATCAGAAGAAGAAGGACAATGAAGAAAAATATATTTTTCTGTAATGGATTCTTCTCCACAAGAGAAAAACATGCAGTTAGAAAAAAACGGTAAATTAGCAAGTTGAAATAGTCAAAACCATGTAACTTCTAAAATAAAAGTAGAAAACTAGTTGATTTTAATTTCAAAATCAGATTTAAAGGCCAAATTTAGCAAAGCGTAATTTAGCAGTTAAACTAGCACTTGTAATGATGTGTGATCCAGTGACTATTTGGGCTGAGGGAAGGGGAATGGAAGTGATGAAACTCTAACTTTAATTTGGACAATTCCAGTAATGAACTTCTAAGCGTCTTGCAAAAAACAACSAATTCCTTTCTTTTATCAGGGGAAGCCATCTGATGTGTCTGCTGCCCTTAGGTGAAGAAAGGATGGATCAAAGGGTTTACACGATGTTTCCAGCCTGCAGAGCAATGTTATGCTGATTGCAAAGGAATCCATGAGATGGGGTAAGGTGCAAGCTGTTTGAGCTGTGCCTGGGGTCATTTTTGGTCTCTCTGCCCTCCRAAGGGAGACACGCCATCATCCAGTGCTGCCCCAGCTGGGGACATCTCCTTGTGACAGATTATGCAATGCCAGCCATCTCCCCTGCTTGGTTTGATCTCCTGTGAACAAGTGTCTTTTTGCTGACAGGGAATTTTGCTCACCTTAACCATGCTGTGAAAGTTACCCTTGCGAGTGCTCTCTGGGCAGTTTAAGGAGAGGAAATGTCTCATATCTGCCTCTCAGGGGAGTGCATGGGAGCTGCCTGTGTGT